GTGTCTCCCAGCAGTCTTGATTCCAACTTGTGCTTCAGCCAGCCCGGCATTTTGCATGATGTACTATGCATAGAAGTTAAATAAGCAGGGTGACAGTATACAGCCTTGATGTACTCCTTTCCCAATTTGGAACCAGTCTGTTGTTCCATGTCTGGTTCTGTTGCTTCCTGACCTTCACACTGATTTCTCAGGGGGCCGGTTAGGAGGTTTGGTATTCCCATCTCTTTCAGAATTTTCCACAGTTTGTTGTGATCCACACAGTCAAAGGCTTTGGTTTAGTCAAAGTAGAAGTAGATGTTTTTCTGGAATTCTCTTTTTCTGTGATCCAGAGGATGTTGGCAATTTGATCTCTGGTTCCTCTCCCTTTTCTAAATTATTACTACTTATTATAGAAATGATCCCTGAATGTCTAATCTTGAATGAATGAGTGACAGATCTATGTAGATGAAGTTTTTTTAAAAAATGGAATTAATGGATTGTCTTTCTTGGCAAGGAAGGCAGCTGTCCAAGTCAGCTAGTATTGAAATTGCCTCCATACTAGGAGCCAGAGGGTTGAGGACTAGAGGTGTAAGGATCCATGAGACTTGCAAAAGAGCTGGTTGAGAGAATCATGTATCACATTTGCAGAAAGGATTTAGAAAAGGTTTTATAGGCAGACGTGGTCAGATAGGAACTGAAATAAGAGAATTTAAGACAAACTGGAACACTTGGTCAGTTAATTGAATGTGAAAGCTCTTAAAGGGTTCAGCTGAATTCTCCTCGTGTTTCTCTTCACATTGGTCTCTTCCTTCTCTGAATTCTGGATTATTGTCTGTATCTTTTGTTTTTCATATTTACGCTTATACTACCTCGTATTAGTACTCAAATCTTCATAGAACTGCCTTACCTTCAGAGCCATATTAGAGGCTAGGTGAAGACAAGAATGAAGTCTTTATACAGATGTTTTTCAGATTCATGTACCTATTAGCAATACTCCTGTATTTGTGGAATGAAAGAGTGCACTCTGCTCTCCTCTTTCACCTTCATCAGAAAGTGAAAGTGACGTGAAGTGGACTCTCAGCGACCCTGTGGACTGTAGCCTACCAGGCTCCTCTGACCATGGGTTTCTCCAGGCAGGAGTACTGGAGTGGGTTGCCATTTCCTTCTCCACCTTCATCAACAGGCTCTTTAATTCCTCTTTGCTTTCTGCCATTAGGGCGGTGTAATCTGCATATCTGAGGTGGTTGATATTTCTTCCTGCAGTCTGTATTCCAGCCTGTGATTCATCCAGCCCACCATTTTGCATGATATACTTTGCATACAAGTTAAATAAGCAGGGGGACGATACATAGCCTTATTGTACTCCTTTCCCATGTTGGAACCAGTCAGTTGTTCCATGTGAGATTCTAACTGTTGCTTCTTGACCCACATATAGGTTTCTGAGGAAACAGGTAAGGTTGTCTGGTATTCCAGTCTCTAAGAATTTTCCAGTTTGTTGTGATCTACGCAGTCAAAGGTTTTAGTGTAGTCAGTGAAGGAGATGGTTTTCTGGAATTCCCTTGCTTTCTCCATGATCCAACGAATGATGGCAGTTTGATCTCTTGTTCCTCTGCGTCTTTGAAACCCAGCATGTACATCTGGAAGCTTTTGGTATAAGTACTGCTTAAGGCTTCCCCAGTGGCTCAGTCGGTAAAGAATCCTGCAGTGTGGGAGACCTGGGTTCGATCCCTGGGTTGGGAAGATCCCCTGGAGAAGGGCATGGCAACCCACTCCAGTGTTCTTTCCTGGAGAATCCCCATGGACGGAGGTGCCTGGTGGGCTGCAGTCTATGGGGGTCACAAAGAGTCAGATATGATTGACTAAGCACACAACACAAGCCTAGCTTGAAGGATTTTGAGCATAACCTTACTAGTATGTGAAATGAGTGCAATTGTATGGTAGTTTGAACATTCTTTGGCATTGCCCTTCTTTGGGATTGGAATGAAGACTGACCTTTTCTAGTCCTGTGGCCACTACTGAGTTTTTTGAATTTGCTGACATATTGAGTACAGTACTTTAACATCATCATCTTTTAGGGTTTTAAATAACTCAGCTGAAATTCCATCATCTTTGTTAGTAGTAATACTTCCTAAGGCCCACTTGGCTTCATACTCCAGGATGTCTGGCTCTAGGTGAGTGACCATAACATTGTGCTTATCTGGGTCATTAAAACCCTATAGTTCTTCCATGTATTCTTGCTGCCTCTTCTTAATCTCTTCTGATAGGGGCTTACTGTTTATGTCCTTTATCATGCCTATCCTTGATTGAAACATTCCCTTGATATCACCAATTTTCTTGAGGTTTCTAGTCTTTTCCATTCTATTGTTTTCCTCTATTTATTTGCATTTTTCATTTAAGAAGTCCTTATCATGCCTTGCTATTCTCTGGAACTCTGCATTGAGTTGGATATATCTTTTCCTTTCTCCCTTGCCTTTCACATCCCTTTTTTCCTCAGCTGTTTGTAAAGCCTCTTCAGATAGTCACCTTGCCTTCTTTCATTACTTTGTCTTCAGGATGGTTTTGGTCACCACCTCCTTACAGTGTTACGAACCTCCGGCCATAGTTCCTCAGGCACTCTGTCCACCACATCTAATCCCTTGAATCTATTTGTCATATCCACTGCTTAATCATAAGGGATTTGATTAGGTCATACCTGAATGGCCTAGTGGGTTTCCCTACTTTCTTCAATATAAGCCTGAATTTTGCAATAAGGAGCTCATGATCTGAGCCACAGTCAGCTTGTTTTTGCTGACTGTGTAGAGCATCTCCATCTTTGGCTGCAAAGAATGTAATCAGTCTGATTTCAGTATTTCCCATTTGGTGATTTCCACGTGTAGAGTCATCTCTTGGGTTGTTGGAAAAGAGTATTTGCTATGACCAGTGTGTTCTCTTGACAAAACTGTTAGCCTTTGCCCTGTTTCATTCTGTACTCCCAAGTCCAATAACTTGCCTGTTATTCCAAGTATCTTTTGACTTCCTACTTTTGCATTCCAATCTCCTGTGGTGAAAATGATACCGTTTTTGGTGTTAACTCTATAAGGTGTTGTAGGTCTTTATAGAAGTAGTCAACTTCAGCTTCTTTGGCATTAGTGGTTGGGGCATAGACTTGGATTACTGTGATGTTGAATGGTTTGCCTAGGAAATGAACTGAGATCATGCTGTCATTTTTGAGATTGCACCCAAGTACTACATTTTGGACTCTTACTGACTTTGAGAGCTACTCCATGTCTTCTGAGGTATTCTTGCCCACAGTAGTAAATATAATAGTCACCTGAATTAAATTCTCCCATCATCCATTTTAGTTCTCTGATTCCTAAGATGTCAGTGTTCAGTCTTGCCATCTCCTGCTTGATCATGTCCAATTTACCTTAATTCACGGACGTAACATTTATGTTCCTATGCACTATTATTTATAGTGTTGGACATTATTTTCACCATGAGACACAACCACAGCTGAGTATTGTTCCTTCTTTGGCCCAGCCACTACATTCTTACTGGAGCTATTAGTAATTGCCTTCAGCTCTTCCCTAGTAGCATATTGAACACCTTCCAACCTGGGGTGCTCATCTTCCAGTATTATAATCTTTTTGCTTTTTTGTACTGTCCATGAAGTTCTCCAGGCAAAAATCCTGGCGTGGGTAGCCATTTTCCCCTCCAGTGGACCACATTTCATCAGAACTCTTCACTGTGACTTGTCTGTCCTAGGTGGCCCTGCCCAGCATGGCTCACAGCTTCAGTGAGCTGTGATCCTGGGAGGAGAAAGGCAAAACTGACCTCTCATCATACAATGTACCGTACATAGTGGGCTTCCCTGGTGGCGCTAGTGATAAAGAATCCTCTGCCAATACAGGTTAGACGTAAGAGACATGGGTTCAATTCCTTGGTCGGGAAGGTCCCCTGAAGGAGGGCGTGGCCACCCACTCCAGGATTCTTGCCTGGAAAACCCCTGGACAGAGGAGCCTGGTGGGCTGCAGTCCAGGTGGCTGCACAGTCGGACACGACTGAGCGACTTACCTTGTGTGCACGTCCTGTGTAGTCGTTATGTTTTTAAAAGACGTGGCAAGAAAAAGCTTGATTTTCTTTAACGTTAACCTGTATTGTTTAGTTGCTAAGTCATGTCCATCTCTTTGCAACCCCATGGACTGTAGCCTGCCAGACTTCTCTGTGCATGGGATTTCCCAGGCAAGAGCACTGGAGCGGATTGCCATTTCCTTCTTCTGGGGTTCTTCCAGATGCAAGGATCGAACCCACGCCTCCTGTATTGCAGATGGATTCTTTACTGCTGAGCCACCAGGGAAGTCCTATCTTAACCTATAGCCTAAAATTAAGAAAATCAACTAATTAATATTCAGTGATATTACTAAAACGTGCTTGAATGTATACTTATCATTTAATTTAAAATGTTTTTGATATAGATAAGAGTGTTGTCCTTCTTTTACTGTGGCTATCTTTATATATAGTGTCAGATTTCAGGATTCTGTTGGCTTTGAAAGTGTCTTGGATTTTGCTTTGATATTGATAATACCATTAAAGTATATCCTTTCTATGAAATCTACATGCTTTGGTAGAGTTGAGTATTCAGATTATTTGTATATTATTTGTATATTGTATTTTATTGTATATGCAATAATACATATATTACAATTATATTTTATTACAATATATACAATTACAATATATACATATTATTATATATATGTATATTGTATATTATTTCTTATATCTGTAATAAACTTTGATCATCTAAATGATTTGAAGCTAAGGATTTTTACAGCTAATTTGGTGTATATACATTCTTATAGAAGTGACCATGTCTAGCCTGACCAAAATGTAATAATATTTTAATATTTAAAATGTGTTTTCCAAAGATTGTTGTAAAATTATAAAAGTTTAAAGACTCTTCAGAATGCTTTTTATATTATAAGCAATTTGCTTCATCTGGCATCTTTGTTATTTCTTTTGTTTTGATTTTATTAACACAGAAAAGCTTCACTGGCCTGAGCAAGAGCTTGCTAAGAAGTCCGTTCTAAATGCAGAAGCGTCCTTGATCATTGACAGCAAAAGAAGCATTTCACATTTATCTCCTGGAATACTGAAGGACATTTTCACAACTGGAACCAGTAGTTACAATGTCCTACTACAGAGCAAAGAGGAGAAAAAGCATCATTCACAAAAACAGCCTTCTTCTGCTGGCTCCAAAAGATGTAGAAAACCCAGCAAATCTCCTAGTTCTTCACGTAGTAAAGATCTTCGCAAGATGAAAGCCTCAGTGCCTGTGATGAGCAGTAGTACTTGGTACTGCCTAGAAAGGCAGCCTGCTGTGTTTATCACTAGTTCAGTGTCAAGTCCTGTAAAGTTTACACATGATATCTCTGTTACAGGAAGCACCATAGTACTGCCACCTAAACCCAAAAATGAAAGAAAGGTGAAGCGACACATTTTCTCCACACTTCCAAAGCCAAAGTCAAAGCCTGTGCTGTCGAGAAGTTTTGAAAAAGGAGATGATTTTTCTGGAAAGAAATTTTGTATACTGACTGCTATAAAGCCCACCAACTTGGAGAAAGAAAAACTGAGGTTCTTCAAGTCCGACTACACGTACAATCCTCAGTTTGAGTACGCTAATCCCTCTCTGCCAAGCGTATTGGCCAAGCACAGCAATGCATCTGACAGATTTCTTAAGCAGGTAAAATGCTACTTGGGTTGTGTGATTTCACTTTATGTAGTGAAAACAATTATTTGCCATCTTATAGAAAGCCAAAAAAGTTCTAAAATACTCCAATTATTTATAGTTATCTCCCATCTAGGATACATAAATATGTGACAAGAAATCTCTAGGTGAGTGTCAACCCATATTTAAATTACTTTGCTCTAATCAAAATTTATAAAGAATCTACTATGTAAACATTGTGTCAGGAAGCAACTATATTAGGAAAAAGCTTCAGATTCTGGCTCAAAGGTTTCATTTGGGATTTAGACTTGTGGCCCTTTCATAAATCCACATACAAGTGTTTGTGTTTTCTTTTTGATTTTGAATGCATTAAATGGAGCATGCATATCTCTGGTTCTCCCTGTTGTATTAAATTCACAGCTTGCTTAGGCCCCAAACAGCATTTTGGGGACTGAGGCTTGAAACTTGCCAAAGAACTTTTTAATGCTTTACTGACATTTTTAACAATCATCAAATAACTATTTCAGTATTCACTTACAGAAGAAAATAATGGAATTTTTAAAATTACCTTCAGGGTTTGCAAATCATGATGCAGATGATAAAAGCGTCTCTTTCCAATTGCTCAATTTAGATATTTAGCACATAGTTTTGTGTGTTAAGGTCTTAGGAACTTCAAAATCTGCTTAAGTTTTTGAGGAGAAATTGGCTGATATTTACCTTCAGGGCATAGAGCTAAGATCTTAAAAACCGACTACATTTAGCTAAATTAACTTTGTGTAGGGTTTTTGTAATGCATTAGGTTCAACTTGGCTTCATCACTGGTTGAAAATCTGTAGGCTCCATGAAGCCGCATGATTCCATTTGTCTTTAGCAGATACCCTGTTTTTGCAAGTTCTTTGGACTTGTGGACAGCAAATTTTTTTATTGTTTGTTATAGATTATATGAAATCTGACCAGTCTTTTAAAGCCTTTTCTTTCTTTCTTTTAGTCGCTCAGGCAAAGTGCATCCCCCGCCCCCGTTTTTAATTAGAGTATAGTTGATTTACAGTATTGTTTCAGGTGTACGGAAAAGTATATCTGTTATACATGAATCCACTCTCTTTTAGATTCTTTTCCCATATAGGTTATTATAGAGTATTGAGCAGAGATCCCTGTGCTATCCATAGGTCTTTATTATCTGTTTTATATACAGTAGTGTGTATTACATTCCCTTAAAATTGACAGTATTATAAAAACGCTATTTGTGTTTTTCCCCCTTAATGCTAAAAGAGATGGCTGAGATTTCTTTATCAGTATTCTTTAATTTGGAGTCTTACTACAAGCCCTACCAGTTGGTAAAGGGATTTCCCACCATTAGGTCAAAATGAATGCTCTTTCATGTCCTTGGATGGGAGTTAGGAAGCATCAGCAGCTCCAGAGATTGAGAATTGACAGTGCTTGGTTTCTGGCCCTACAATCTTTATTTTAGCCCAATTCCAACTTCTTATGCTTGGGTCCTTTGAGACTTCTAAATAGGACCAGCAATCCCAGCTGGCTGGTATTAAATACTTCAAATGCCACCATTTGGGAGAATGATCGCAACAAAAGCCAAATGTACTTCAAACCACTTTAATCAAATAAAGGAGATTCATCAGAACAGGGCCCCCATAAAATACGCTTAAGTTCCTACTTAGCATCTGAATGAATTCTGACATGATACATCCTTCCCCTTCCCAGCTGTGAAGTTAAAGCAGCAGCTTTAGGGCTAGTTTTAGAACTTAGAATTGTGCTCCTCAGAGGGGTCAGGATGGCCAACTAGCCCACTGGTCTCTGGCCTCCAATCTTGAGGCCTTGCCAAGCCCTTTCTGATAGTCTTGTAAGTTTCATGATCTGGATCTTTCCAAGGCAGGCAAACTGTATTGTTGTTGGACAGTGAGTGTGATCCTCTTTAGTGCACAGATTGGCAGAACAATGGTAAATCCAGGCCAGATAAGTCTACCATAGTGGAACCAAGGTAGTACCCAGGTTCTGTTCATTCCTAATTGGTTGTGCTATAAATGCCAAGGAGTTCCAGGACTCAGTTTTTCCCCAGTCTCGGCAGTAGTTTCCTCAGGAGATACTTGGGCCCTTTAGGTGGTTCAGAGCATCTGGCATGGGCTGCAGGACTTGAAAATAACTCCACGTGGAGCCTGCTGAACCCTGCTTAGCCTCTTGCTAGCAGCCACTCTGAGTCTCAGCTCCTCTCAGTTCCTCAACCCTTGAAGGTCAGAAACTGAGAATGTCTGTTTTCTGAGGTTGTGGAACTTTGCAGGAAAGAGCGCAGTACTTCCTGGTGCTGAAGAAGGGATCTGGGATGAGAAAATGCTGAAAGCTGTGCAGGGTCAGGTGCCTCCTCACCAGTGAGTCAGAAGTAAAGCCTTAGTGGCACATTTGAGCAGTGACCTGGCAGCCAGTACATTCTTTCTTCTTTGTGGCTGACCATCCTGGAAAACCTAGGTATCAAATCCATAATGGCTTCAGACCCAGCATGTTGTTGAACAAGATGGGAAGTGAGAGATGAGAAGGGTCTTCAGGGCAGTGATAAGAATCCTTGGCAGTATTTCCAGCAGTCAAATGAAAATTATATGTTTATGTGATAAAGCCAGTGGGTAGCTTAAGTCACTGATTTTCTGCTCTAACTGGAATCATATCTCATTGTAGATCATGGATAGTATCCTGCTAGCTGGAAGCCCTGATTGGTCGAGTGATAGTTAATAACATAGGCAAAAATAAGTTAACTTTTATTTGGCTTATAAATTAAAGTTTGAATTATGTTCTTACTGGTTAGTAAAGCTGGAGCAGTGGGGATCATCAGTGATTGGAAAATGGGGGGAGAAGGAAGGCCTTTGGGGTGTTGGGTAAAGACCCTGGGCTGAGGCTACCCCGCTGGCTATCAAGGAAGAAATGGTAAAGATAAGTTAAGAGTTAAGAGACCAGGTAAAGATAAGTTAAGAGTTAAGAGTTAAGAGACCAGGCCTGAGACTACCATCCTTAGAAAGCCTTGGTTGCAAGACTAATTGGATCCTAGTTTCCAGGAACTTGACTGTTGAATGGTTTCCTATGCTGAAATAGACTTTCCCTAAGTGATAAGAGGAGCTTGCCATGCTCACTGTACAAACAGTATGTTTTATTGAATACCTCTTTTCCTTTCTGGAGCCTGGAATTTTAGATTTGCTAGGCATGGGGTGCTTATGTGACTAGCCTATGATAAAAAAATCTTGGGCATTGAGTGTGTAATCAGTTTCATTAGTAGACCAATCTTTACATGTTCTTTACAACTCAGTTGCTGGAGAAGTTAATTGCATCCTGTGACTTCATTGTGAAAAGATTCTTTTGAGGCTACTTCTGGTTTCCTGCAGACTTTACAGGATATAAGAAATGGGGAATAGTAAGCTTAGGTTAATTTTTTTTTTTAGGGCATTTACATTCAGATTTTAGAGAAAATACAAAACTCAGTACTAAAAACAAATATTGTATTGCTCAAGTAAAACATCTCTGTGGACTATAGTCATTGTCAGTTTGAGACTCCTGGTGAGTTATAAGGTCTGACTTCTTACAGCTTTATAAAGGACCGTTGTGTGGCACAATTTCGGGGGATGCTATTTACAAACTAAGCTTGGGCCAACCTGTGAAAGTGATTATATTAGTTGCTGATTTTTGGAAGCCTTAAGATGAGTGTTTACCTTCTGCTGTTTCGGCACCCATCCCCATCTTCCAGCTACAGCTGCAGTCTCAACTCCATAATATAGCATCATTTAGTGCCTTGGAAAGAATAGCAAGGTTAAACCTGGGTGCCTAGACTGTAAACTGAGTAAATTGAAAGAGGCAAGTACAGAGTGCCCCCAGAGACTATCATAGCACTGTAGATGACTGACTTCTCTCCCCATGCCCCTTTGACTCTGCCAGGGAAAAAGCAGAAACATCCATTACATCTCCCACATGTGTGCGTGCTAAGTCGCTTCAGTTGTGTCTGATTCTTCGTGGCCCTAAGGACTGTAGCCCGCCAGGCTCCTCTCTCCATGGGATTCTGCAGCTCCCACAATATATACCTTTTCTCTGTTGACCACTGTCCTCATTGCATTTCTTCTGTTTCATGTGAAGTATACACAACTGAGAATTGACAAGAGGGTTAAAATAAAATTTAAGTTATTTTCAACTGAAACAAAATAAATGAACTTTCAAAATGTCTTCAGTGAAGTAGTATATCCATTGTTTTCCTATTCCTAAGGCATTACATTTTTCAAAGTAATTGTTATTTGCAAATACAATCGGTTTTTGATTATCCATATTAATGGAAGGAAATATTGGTATGGATTGGCTAAAATGACAAGATTATTCCCTGCTCCCTCCTTCTCAAATAGTTTTCATCAAGGCAGTCATCTTAGCTTTCCTGCTGTGATGGTGCTACACTAGCCATGGTAAGTAGAAAACACAGCAACAGAAAAAGCCACGAAGCATGAAGGTGGATGAAGTGGAGGTTGTAGAAGGAAGTGATTTTTAACATCCACCATCGAAGTGAAAAAAATCCACTGAAGTGATTTATAAAGAAGAAAAGAGAGGTAGACCTGATCTCTGAAGTTTTTCTTGTACACTGTGGTGCAGAATGTTTCTGTTTTTAATTTTTGCACTGTACTATATACTCATGTAAACATTGCACAGTGTCTGCTTCATTTTCCTCATATGTATATTGAGGGGAATAGACTCAGTGATCCTTGAGAGCCCTTTCTAGGACCACACACCTAAGTTCCAGCCCACAAAATACTATGGCTAATTACTTAAAGATTCCATTTCATGTCATTATGTGTTCAGTTGTGTCATGTGTTTTGTTAAAATGTTTAGCTATTTTTCCACATCATGTGTTAATCACAGAAAAGCTCAGAGTTTCTGCCAGCTGTGTTAACTGAAAATTCTTTTACTTCAGATATCAGCGCTTTATTAACTCAACCCATAATTGGCAAATATTTTGGCTTGTTAAAATTAACTTTACAAGCAAGTGA